CCTCCCAAGTTCAAGTGATTGAACTGGCTTAGCCTCCTGAGTAGCTGGGATTACAGACTCCTGCCACCACCTCCAGCTAATTTTTTTATTTTTAGCGCGACAGGGTTTCACCATATTGGTCAGGCTGCTCTCGAACTCCTGACCTCATGATCCACCTGACTCTGCCTCCCATAGTGCTGGGATTACAGGCGTGAGCCACCTCATCTGGCCTACTGTTTAGATTAATATTTAAAGTTTTTATTGTGATGAAAGAGCTTATTTCTTTCTTATTAAACTAAGTTGTGTTGATGACTGCACTCCTCCTGGGAGATAAGGTATATGTAAATTATTTCTGTATTGGTTTTCTCCTTCCTTCCATCCATCCTTCTGTCCTTCACGCAGATTTTTTTTTAACATGGGATCTGCCAGGTTGTAACACAGAGATATTTTCAAGGGATCAGAAGTATAAACTTTAAAATAGTTTCATTAAGTTCAGGTTTTTCTTTTTTTGCCTTTATCCAGAATGAATCTGGATAAAAGTAAAAAACGTACTGTATTGATCAGGCATGGTGGCTCACGCCTGTAATCCCAGCGCTTTGGGAGGCCAAGGTGGGGAGATACCTGATGTTGGGAGTTCAAGACCATACCTGACCAACATGAAGAAACCTTGTCTCTACTAAAAATACAAAATTAGCTGGGTGTTGTGGCACATGCCTGTAATCCCAGCTACTTGAGGGGCTGAGGCAGGAGAATTGCTTGAACCCGGGAGGCGGAGGTTGTAGTGAGCCAACACCATTGCACTGTAGCCGGGGCAGCAAGAGCGAAACTCCGTCTCAAAAGAATTAAAAAATACACTATGTTTTCTTTCTTTATTTTCTTTTTTTTTTTTTTTTTGTGAGACAGATTCTCTCTGTCACCCAGGCTGGAGTGCAGTGGCACCATCTCAGCTCACTACAGCCTCAGCCTCCAGTGCTCAAGTCATTCTCCCACCTCAGCTTCCTGAGTGGGTGGGACTATAGGCATACACCACCATGCTTGGCTAATTTTTGTATTTTTTGTAGAGATGGGTTTCACCATTTTGCCTACGCTGGTATCAAACTTCTGGGCTGAAGTGATCCTCCTGCTTTGGCCTACCAAATTACTTGGATTGTAGGTGTGATCTACCACCTACTGCCTGTGATACTGTGTTTGCAAAGTTTATATTAAATGTTTCATTAGTAGCCATTTTCAATAATGTATCCAGTCAAGTTATAATTAAATTTAAGTTATATTTTAGTGAAAGAAAAGGAATTCTGGATGCCCATATTTCCTATACATGAATTTTTTTTCTTTTTTTTTGAGAAAGGGTCTTGCTCTGTCATTCACGCTGGCCTCATCCTACGAGGCTGAAGTGATTTCCCCCAACCTCAGCCTCCTGAGTAACGGGTTATAGACATTTGCCACCATGTCCAGCTAGTTTTAAAAAAAAATTTTGTAGCGATGGGGTCTCACTGTGTTGCTGAGGCTGCTCTTGAACTCCTGGGCTCAAGTGGTCCTGCTGCCTTGGCCTCCCAAAGTGCTGGAGTTAAAGGCATGAGCCACATGTATGAATATTCCACACTCAGCCATGTATGAATATTCTTTTCATAGAAAATACAATTCAAAACATTCTATGAAAACATGTTAATTTGTAGAAACACTATTTTTCTGGGCTTCTGTCATTCATTTTTACCTGTATAATTTATTTGCCTCTGAAAACTGTGTTGAATTGCTTTCTTGCCTGGAAGTACTAGGATTATTTTGTTTTTTAGGGACAGGAGCTATCTCACTCTGTCACCTAGGTTGGAGTGTGGTTGTGTAATCATTGCTCATTGTAACCTTGAACTCATGGGCTCAAGTGATCCTCCCACTTCAGCCTCCCACCATAGCCTCCCAAGTGAACATAACTGTACCCAGCTAATTATTTCATTTATTTGTTTGCTTGTTTGTTTGTTTATTTGAGTCTCACTCTGTCCCTCAGGCTGGAATGCAGTGGTGCAATCTCTGCTCACTGCGACCTCTACCTCCTGGGTTCAAGTGATTCTCTTGCCTCAGCCTCTCTAGTAGCTGGGGATATAGGCATCTGCCACCATGCCTGGCTAATTTTTTTTTTTTTAGTTGGAGTTTCACTCTTGTTGCCCAGGCTGGAGTGCAATGCTGTGATCTTAGCTCACTGCAA